ATGATGAAGGGAATCAAATATAAATTTCAAAAATTGACTTTGATACTTCAGAAATATCTAAATGCAATCATCAGTTTTTCTGCCCTTCAACTCTTCTGTGGATATCACTACGAACAAATGCTGAAATGTGCAAGAGGTCAGTATGCAGATAAATCCTGCAGAGAATCTCCCTTCCTCCTCTCCATCTCATGGAAATCATGCTGCATTCTTCAAGATCTAAATCAAATCACAAGTCGTCCTAAAATTTCCACCTATGGACCTCAACTAAAGAATCAATACTCCCCTTTTCACCAGGAACAAGCTACTTATATTTCTAGCAATGTGTTTATTTCATCCTGCTTCCTAATAAACATGTTTCTAAGTCTCCAACTCTTAACAGCCTTTGCTTGGTCTTCATTACTTGTATTACAAGATAGCAACATCTTATACACATAAGGCAATGATTACCATATCATTTCTGTTACAAAAGTTTGAGTCTTCCTGAAACTCTTTTCATTTATAATTTTAAGAAATAGGGAAAAAATGGACCCTTCTTTCTCTCCAAATCAGCCCTTACTTCCTGACTTCCCTATTTGCCCAATGCCAAAACCACTGAGACCTTAGAGTCCTTTGAGTCTTCTTTCTCTCTCACACCATCTAGTCTTGGCACTAAGATCTCTTAATTTATTGGCCACAATATCTTTTAATTTATTGTCACTACTAATATCCTTCATTAGTCTCTCTTTTGCTTTCAGTGTGACTATTCCCATGGGTTCCTTACTGGATGATTCTCACAATCAATACTAAGGCAGGCTCTAATAATAATAACATAGTTTCAAAATATATGTAGTAAAATAAATAACACTAATATTTAAAAAATAAATAAATAAATAACACCTCACAGTAAAAATTAGATATTTTAACAATCCTCTATCAGTCACTGACAAAAGTAGACAAAATCAGTAAGGGTATAGAAATCAGTAGGGACATAGAACATTGTGAAACAATTTGGTATAGTTGACATTTATAGGACATTTCACAATAAATGATGGAAAATTCATCAAGATAGACCACATTTGGGGCCATAAAACAAGTCTTGATAAATTTCAAAGGATCATAATCAGGGAGAGTACATTCTATGACAATAAGTGTATTAAATTAGAAATCAATAATAAAATATCTAAAGACTCTCCACATAATTGGAAATGAAGCAAGCAGCATACTTCTAAAAAAGAAACCCATGGGTCAAAGAAGAAATCATAAGAGAAGTATTTTCTACTTCAAACTAAATGATAATGAAAACACGACTTAGCAAAATTTGATCAGTAAAATATAAAAAACAAAAAAGTAAAAAGTCATTTCTTTAAAAATATTAACAAAACACTCAGCAGGTCTCATAAAGAAAACAGAGAAACAAATTACCTTTATAGGAATATAATAGGAGGCATAAGTATAGATCTTACAGAGATAAAAAAAGATTAAAAAGAAGATATAAAAAATCAGGCCAAAAAATTTGACAACTTAGATGAAATGGACAAATATATTGAAAGGCATAAATTAACAAAACTGACAAAAGAAACAGAAATTCTGAATAGCCATATATCTATTCAAGAATTTGAGTTCAAAATTAAAAACTTTCCCAAAATGAAATCTACAGGCCCAGAAGATTCATGGATGAATTCTATCATACATATGTTAAGCAAAATAAGTCAGTCAGAGAAAGATAAATACCTTATGATCTCACTTATATGTGGAATAAAAAAACTGAATGAACAAGCAAAGTAAACAGAAATAGTCTCAGAGATATGGAGGAACAACTTATGGCTGCTAGTTGGGAGGGGAATGGGGATGAGGGAGAAGGGGAAGGGATTAGACAGCATAAATAGGTAACTACAATATTGCCACAGGGATATGAAAGAGAGTTTGGGGAATACAATAATGTTGTAAATATGTTGTAGGGTGTCAGATGGTCACATGTCTTGTTAGAGAGACCACTTCATGGATGGGGTAGAGGCTTGATCACTGCGCTGTACACCTGAAGCTGATGTTGAATAATATTATATGTCAACTATAATTAAATATATATATAGTCACAGGATGTGGAGTATAGTGTGGGAGTGGAGTCAATGGAATTGTAATAGATATGTATGATATAGGGGGGGAGTGGGGTGGCGGATTGGGGGAGGCGGGGGTTGTCACTGTGAGGGGTAAAAGGTATAACTATTGCACTGTGTTGTACACCTGAAACCAATTAAAAAAATAAAGTAAAATAATATAAACTTTATACAAAAACAACAATAAAAGCTATTATAACTAATAAATGAGCTTAATAAGGTTGCAGAATACAAGTTTAATATACAAAAAAATCAACTGTATTTCTATATACTAGAAAAGAATGTTGGAAATTCAAATTTTAATGTCATTTAATAGAACATCAAAACTCAGAAAAAATGAGGACTAAATCTTTAAAAGATGTGTGTCGGGGCCAGCCAAGTGGCTCAGTTGGTTAAGAGTTGTCTTGGGAGCACGAGCTCTGAGCAGCAGGGCTGCTGGTGCCACCGGTTTGGTTCTCACATGGGCCAGTTATGCTGCGCCCTCTATAGCTAAGATTGTAAATAATAGCTCAACCTGGAGCTGAGCTGCCGTGAGTCACCAGTGACGGTGTAGGCTGCAGCCACTGCTACAGTGGACTGCCATAAGCTACTGTGAGTGGCCGGCAGCCAGCATGAGGGGCCAGCAGTGTGAGCTGCCGTGAGCTGCCATGAGCGGCCGTCCAATGGCTGGCGACCGACTGCCTCAGCCGGGAAGAGCGCAATGATAATACCAACTTGGGCCAGTGAAGCGACGTCCTCCACAACTAGACTGAAGAACAAAAGGACAGCAACTTGTCTGTTCCCCTTCCCCAATTCCTCAACGCTGTTTGCTGTTTCCCTCCCCCAATTCTCCAATAAGATCTTTAAAAAAAAAAAAAAATGTGTGTCAGTTTGGCATAATAGACCTATTTACTGAAAACTACAAAACATCCATGAGAAAAGTTAAAAAGAAACCTAAATAGATGGATCAATAGACCATGTTCATGGATTAAAAGACTCAATATGATGGTGTCCATTTTCCTCAAATTAATCTCTACATTTATCATAATGCTATCGAAAACATCAATAGGTCCTTTTTAAAAACATGAAAGGCTGATTCCAAGATGCAGAAAGAAATTCAAATGCTCTATAGATACAAAGCAAGCAATAAATTTTCATTAAATTCAAAAAGTAGACATAAAAACAATCACCTTGAGAGATTACACACTTTACAGTCTTACCTTCTGAAGCTTTTAAGAAAAAGTTGGGCATTTGAATAAAATTATTTAAATGCACAAGTATTTGGTTCTTTTGGATTTCTCCCCACAATTTTATGTATTTATAAGACACTATTGCATTAATCCATATACAAAGAAAGAAATGATTTACAGGGTGACAATACTGATAATGTTTGCTAAAAGGAAAACCGGGTTGTAGTCTAGTGTTAATTAGTGAGTATTCCATAACATGTGTAGAGACTATATAGCATTTTACCTATAAATCCCATAATTAGGCACCATTGTAGTCATTAAAAAACAAACAAACAAAACAACACAAGAGCATCCTTTGACTTCCTATACTGGCAATGTTTACAATAGCGCTAGAGCAGCAACGCTCAGAGTGGTTTGGGGTCTGCCCAAGACGCCTTAATACTAGTACTAAGATATTAGTGACCTTTTTCACACTCAATTTCTCACAAATGTAAAGTGCAGTTTTTCCAGAGATTACATGAAATGTAATAAAACAACAGATTAAATGCAGAAGGAAAAATGAAAATGCAGCTGCTTCAAGACAACAATAAAGAGATTGACAAAAACAATGTCATTATTCAGGTTTTTGTCTCGGAAGAGTTAAATTTCATTAATGTTTATGTTACATGTAATGGGTTTATAATAATTATCTTAAAGGAATAAATACTTTTATTTCTTAGTTTTAATTTTTAATATGGTAAATGTGGATACACATAACGCACAATAAAAGTTTTGAGAACTCAAAGAGTTTTTAAGACTATAAAGTCGTCCTGATACCCAAAAAATTGAGAATCACTGCAGTGCAGTAATAAACAGTTTTAAGTGGTATGTAGGGAGAGTATAATCCTGATCACTAAAATGAAAAACAAAAAAACTATTTTAAAAAGGATTACCATATGTTAACGTTGAGTTTTTCTTAGCAGGACACACTACATTAAGCCTCTTTCTGGATCTCAAAGTAATCAAGTTCACCAATAAAGAAAAGGCCTAAGGCCAACATAACATAAGACACACATGATCCCCATACATAATTGTCATTTTCTTTTTTCCCCGTCATGATGCATCTCTAATATAAGTGAAGAGAAAAACAGCTTTCCAAGTCTCTTGCCTACCTTTTTTAAAGTTGAGTATTGCCTACATATTAAGCATATTAAACCCTGTCCGCTGCTCTTCCAAACTCTCCTTCCCTTACTCTATTGTTTTCACCACTGTGCTTATAACCGTCTATTATACAATTTACCTATTTATTATACCTATTTTGCATCACCCCACTCAACATAACATAAACAAGAGTATTCGTTTTTCTGATTTATTCACTAATGTGCCTTTAGTACCTGTAGCAGTGCCTAAGACAAAATAGGAACAAAATAAGTATTTGTTGAATGAATTAGTAGATATTTTCCTGAAGTAAAATGTAAATTTTGGCATTTTACCAGAGGAGAACAAACACATCTTACCACATTAACACTTTCAAATGGCCATCAGACACAAGTGCTATCGATGGAAGCAGGATGGATCCGGGAGCTGACGGAAAAGCTCTCAGGGCAGAACATTTCTGGACCCAGAAATGGAGAGATAAAGAAGGGAGAAGGATATGGGAATAGTCTGAACTAGAGGCAAGAGAAGTAGGGTTTTTTTCCCGATCCTAGGTTTCCAGAAATACAAACAAAAATAAATAAAGTAAGAGCAGCTAACACACCTCTCTTCTCCCGATGGATTTCTTCCAGAAGCTTCTCCTGCCTTTCTATCTGTTCGAAGAGACACTGGAGCTCAGATTCCTTGTTTTCAGTCATATTCCTGAGCTGTTGTCTGCACAACATTAGCTCGTGCCGCAGACTTTTCTCTCTACTTTCTCTCTCTTTCAGTTCCTCACAGAGCCACTGAAGTTTAGTCTAAAAAAAAAAAATGACATTTATATCTAATTTTAAAAAAAGACAAAAATCGAGAACACAGCAGCATTTCAAAACATTAGGAAAAAATGTCATAATGATCTGAACAAATATAGACAATAATGAATTTAAGCAAAATAAAAAATACATAATGGCTTTTTCAGTTAAAACTTGGTGCAAAAATTAGCCATGATTTTCTTGGCTTTTCATAAAATATTTGGTATCACTGATGTTCTTCAGAAAGGCACTCCTATAACGAGATTTGGCCCACTACAATTCCAATCATAGTATAATTAGTGTTTGGCCTGTGTTAAGTACCAACGCTAAGAAATAATAATGGAGAACCAACAAATCTGTTTTGTCATAGCAATAATCCTATTGGTTCTGGTAAAAACAAAATCGTAACTAACAAACAAAAATACTCTGAAAACAAACCATTAATCGGGCTTGATATGTGTTATGGACTGAATCGTGTACCCCAAAATTCACATTTTGAAGCCCTAAACCTCAGTGTGACTGCATTTGGAGATAGGATTCTGAGCAAGGTACTTAAGGTTAAATGGGGTCATAAGAGTAGGGCCCTAAACCAATAGGGCTGGTGTCCTTAAAAGAAGAGGAAGAGACACAAGGGCTTAGAAGCAAGCTTGCACTCCCCCATCTTCCTCTAGATTTCCAACCCCCAACATCCCCAAACCACCCCATCCCACCCCACCCCTGCATGAAAGGAGGCATTCCACAAGCCATGGACAGGACTCTCCAGAAACCAACCCTGGCACTTTGATCTTAAACTTCTAGCCTTTAGAACTGTGAGCAAACAAATGTCTGTTGTTTAAGTCACCCAGTGTGTGGGGTTTTGGTATGGCAGCCTGAGCAGACTAACACAATGAGACCTATTTTGCCACACAAAATTTAAAAATAGGCTAGTTAGATGTTTTTATGAATTGAATATGTATGCAGAATATATTAATCCCACAAAACAAAATACCAACTTATGGAAATTTAATCAACCAATAATCAATTATAAGAGTCAGTGTTGGTTAAACAACCAGCATCTTCATTACGTATCTTGGAGAAACAGCTTGTAAGACAGTATAAGAATAACTTCAACAATTCCAAATAATAATCAGCTGACAAGGCTATTAGTCACAGTGCAAACACCATTCTATTAACCACTCGCAAGAGCATTTTACAGATAACATAATATGCTCATTTATTTAACTACATTGAGTATTGCTAAATAAACTAAAATAGAGGAAGAATGTCTAAATAAGGCAGTTTTTTACCTTCATAGTTGATAGTTTGTAATTAGGTGGGAATATTCATAATTATCTAGTAAAACAATCAAAATGGTCTTTATAATCTATAAAAATCTCCTCTACTGAGATTTAGTATAGAAATATACTAAAGTCATTAAGGAATGACTCAAAGCTAAAAACCAAGGAAAACACAAAATTTGAATAAAAAAACTACAGCTGATAGAGTTAGCAATAATATTAGGAATCATAATTTTGCCGCTTGTACCTACTAAGCTTCCTTTGCCAAAACTCTAAAAAGAATTTTGAGAGGAAATGTTTATATAACAAGTATGAAGAAAGAAGATGGCAATTTTTCAGAATCTGTTAGGCCACCAAAACAAGAATTGAACCAGAACTGAAAATTTCAAATCCAAGTTGACCCCAAAATTTCATTCTTCCAGTAATACTTTTTCCACTTTTCTATAGTTATGAATATAATCAAACAGAAAGCAAACATATCTCCTTGATAAGAGTACATATTTAAAAATATAAAACACCTTTCTCCAACTGAACTGACTGTGTTCTGTATACACAAAAACTAAAATATATTTCCAACAAATGAATGAAGACACTTGAGTATCTGTATCGCATTTTGATGTCTACGCCAGAAGGATAAAATACCAGATGATAATTCACATCCTTCAACAAGAATTTGATACACTGGGTCTAATTCTCACACAATGACTGTTTTAAACTATCTACCTCCCAAAAAGACAATAAATGCAAAGTTTATATTCAAGTGTAGGTTCCACAGCCAATGGGGAGAAGCAATGGCACAGAGTTCAGAGACCCAGGTTCTAAACCCTTCTCAGTAGCCAATTATTGGGTTGTTGGAATAGTCAGAACGCCTTTTTGCAACGAAAAACATAGAAGAAATACGTCATGACTTTTCCGACAACCCAACAGTTTTATGTCCTCGGGTAAAATTCAAAATTCCCAGGGCCCCTTTCTCATCTACAAAATGAAGAAGTCAAGCTATCTGATGTCTGAAGCTGCTTCAGTTATAATACTACAAAAACAGTAGGGCAAAGCGAGTACTTGTCAACACCTAGAACACATTACACTCTAAAAAGTGTGACTCTGGGGTGATACCAAACAGGATAGTATAGGAAAATCCCCAAATAATTTGGAAGTATACTGCTTATCTATATAACTGTAAAGTTTACAGTTCTGACCAAATAAAAATCAACATTTGAGAATCAATATATTTACTGCAGTCTAATCGGCTTCTTTTTTATTCTTCATGATATTTAAGCTGAGAAAGTAACCTGAGTAGGAAAATACAGCAAGCCTGATATAAATACTCTTTAAAATAAATATATCTTGAGCATTGTGGTAAGTGCTAAAGATGCAATGAGAAACAGGAAAGACACAGGTCTTCCTCATGAAGCTTACAGACTGAAGAAAGAGAAGGGTAGACGGGAATTTCCATACAGTGGGATAAAGGCTGAGAAAGAAAAGCTCTCCACTGCCAAAGAAGCATATAAATTCACCTCTGCGCATCTTAAGAGGATAATGAGCATGGGCTCCCACGAGAAATTGTTTTCTGTAAATACAGAGCACTCAGGATCCTGCCTTGTGCTACAGAGCAGCTGACATTAGCTTTTCTTTTATTTGCTATCATAAAATGATAACATAAGATCTGGGGTCAACAGCGATGCTCACCCGTATCATCGTTCCATCCTGAGAGTGCTTGCCTGTTCTAGATTTGACCATTTGTCCCGATTTCCTCACTGTGAATGTCTTGGGTGATTCTCCTTTTTTTTCCAGGATTTGAACCTAAACTCTGATCTGTATTTTTTTTTCCTCCTGCTTCTCTTTGGGCTTTCCTACTCAAATGGAACTTTCTGGATATCAACCCCTGGTGGAAACTCTTTCAGTACTTCTGCTTGCTTGCCTATCTAGGACCCAGCCTGCCTGTCTATTCAGACACCAGCCTTTGACTGGGGTCTTCTAATTTGGCTTGAACACCCTGGATATCTCCTCCTCCACCACCTTCTGCCATTACATTAAACCTCACTTGCCTATTGTCACCAACATACTACTCCACTCTGTCTTCCTCTAATTCTCTACAATTTCCTAAATTCAGACACTCACTTTCTCACTCAGAGACCTGGTTCTCACCCATCGACCTCTTCCATGGTCCCCCTGCCTTTGGTCTTCCAACCTCTCATCCACCTTTAACATCACTACCCCAGTGAAGTTTCGTATATATAAATATGAGCCTATGACTCTCCAGTTCAAAACTCCTGTGATTCCCCACTAAATGCAGAGCTGAACCCAAGCTCCTAACATGGCACACGATGCTCTTCTTGATGGACCTAACCTCCACCTGCTGGAGCTCCACCCCTGCCGTTCTGCGTTACACGTCCATGTTGCAGTATTGCCAAATCACTGGGCTTTTCTTTGCATTTGTCGTGCTGTTTCTCCTCTGTGCCATTCATTCCTACAATTGCTTACTCTGCATGCAAACTCTTTCTTCTTTGCCCGGCTAGCTTCAAGATACATCTGAGGCATCAGCCAACATGGAAACTTCTCTATACCTGTATCACAGCTCTTATAGATAATACTGAAATTATCTACGTAAGTGTCAGCTTTTCTAGAGAAAATATGCTCTTCAAGGAGAAGTGGAAGCATCATGTCTTAATTCATTTTTATGTCCTCATTATACAACATGGCATCTGGGTCACAGTCCAGTCATTTCTCAGTAAATTCTGTGAAACGGAATAAAATTTGGCCTCTACATGCCTTGTCAAGATTTATGACAAAAACAAATCCCTAATTCCTGGGAATTCCTTGCCTGGCATTCCTTAGCAACCATCTCAACCCTCTTCCTCCCCATACCATGTTATTCTTACCATTTGTTCATTATTTTATCTGGGAGCCTGGTCCAACTTAGTTAGACTTCATGTTTATGTCATGCCGCCACTGCCAACAAAAAAGCAACAGCGACACTATCCCCACCCAATCCTCCAGCTCTTTTAGGAGTTACACTAACAGAAGAAATTCATTTGGCAGATTTATGAAAACAATTACCGAATGCCCTCAGAGGTCCTTCTGATGCCCCAAGATTCCAGCATGAACTAGCTGAACAGCAATTCTACTTTCCATATAGTTTTTGTCCTCTGAATTCAGATCTTATCTTCAATACTTATAGAGCTGTCTAGCCATAGTTCATGGGAAACACAGTATTGTAGCCCATCAATAACCTAAGCCATCTTTCAGTAAATAGATTCAATTCCTCCTTAGTCAGTTGGTCAGCATGGTATTGCTTATCACAACCCGTTTACACTGTAGAGTAACAGTTGTCTCATGCAGTATTAAAACGCATCTGATCAGGAGTTCAATCCCATTAAATGATAAGGGAAGCTGCTCACTAGCTCCCAAATTAAAGAGCTATGATTAAGAGTCATCTCTGGCTCTCATAATTTAACTGAACAACAGCAGTGAAAGCTTTCTGTTCAGAAATGATAAAGATTTTAACTGGAAAGAAAATCCCAAGTACATTGCTCTTGTCAAAACTGTGGAGTTGGGGAAAAGAAAAAAGAGAAATGCTTTATTAATGTACAGCAGAAGGCTCTAGCCGAAAAATTCTGGGACAGCAAGACACATATATTCCGAATTTCTTATGTTGGTGGCATAAATACAAATTTGCATTTGGTTCTAACAACAATGGTTAGGAATGCACAGGAGCACTGTACTTCAAGTAGGATAGAAAATCTTACAAGGTTAGGTACATTTCAATGTTCAATCGTAATACTATTAGTTTCTTATTAGGAATTGTTTTGGGAGGAGGGGAGATATCTCTAATGCATATCTTACCTTCAAAGGTAAAGCTTGTCTTTCTACCACCCCCTACCTGTTCCTTACACACCAATCTTAGGGCATTATCTGTGTTTACTCAAATAGTCTCGTCTTTTTGCCATTGTTATACTTGAATTAGCCAACTGGAGAACTTCCACATATTTTTTGAATGACCAAGTTTAAACATTGCATTTTTGCGGAAGCTTTCTGTGACATGCAGGCAGGCAGCATCATACCCTCCCACCCTCCCAATACAAACATCATAGTTAGTTCTTCTTCTGTATTCCTTTGTCAATGTTTACATATTTCTAAAACAATGTAACACAACTTAAGAATTTTCAAAATTTTTCCCGTATTAACTTCCATGGCTTGCTAACACTTATATCCCCAATGTCTGTACACAAAAAAGTAAACTATCAATAAATCTTGGCTTGGGGCGGCCGGTTAGCTCCATTGGTTAGAGCGCAGCGCTCATAACACCAAGGTTGCCGGTTTGATCCCCATGTGGGCCACTGAGCTGCGCCCTCCACAACTAAACTGAAACAACTACTTGACTTGGAGCTGATGGGTCCTGGAAAAACACACCGTTCCCCAATAAAAATTTTAAAAAATAAAAAATAAAAAATAAATCTTGGTTTAATGAACAAAGACTTCAGGTGGCAATACACATAATGGTTGAGTACTAATTATGAGTCTGACATGGTATGTAATCCATTTTTCCATTTTTCTATGGCAGTGGAAAGTCACATACCTTCTCTGAAACCTCACTTTCCTCATATTTTTAAATAAAGGCACTATACAAACCTAAAGGTTCTTTCTTGCAATAAAATCCTAAATTGGATCACATTGGTCAGGTTTACAGTACAGTTGGTCTTCTTACAGAATTAAATGTGATGGAAGATTTTCCATTTTAGTATGCTACATCTGAAAATAACTAGTCCTAAAAGGAATGCAAATGCTTAAGTATTGATACTTGAATAAACAGATTATGTCTTATGTGGTCATAATTTTCTATTGGATTGTCGTAAAAGTCATGATATATTTTTTTCTCTGTTTTTCGTTGCAAAAATGCGTCATGACTTTTCCGACAACCCAATACATACTTTAATTTCTATAAATTACTATATACCTTAATTTCTATATATTTGAATTTCCAAGTTGACCTGATATATGAAGATAGCTGAAAATTATTCCAGGGTAGAAGAATCTTTTTGCCAAAATTAGCAAATTGTTTAATTTTACTTATATTTGCTTCCCTTCCACGTAATTTGAATCATAATGCCAAAGAACCATGAAGCAGGAACATTCTCTTCAGAACACAAAGTTAATCCCTCCAATTTTGTAAATGAGGAAACAAGACATCCAGTGAGGTAAAGGGATTTGCTTAAGCCACACAGGGATTTGGCAGGCTTTGAGCTTACTCTCAGGAACCAAAATATAATAAGTACATATGTGTAAATGGAGGCTGGTTACAGCCGCACTGACCTGTGTACAGTTCCAGAGACACTGCCCATCCCCAGGAAAAGGCAGAAGAATCTGTCTCTCTAACGGTCTAGTTTTAATATTTCCACAGTTTTACCTTCCTTTATTCTCTCATTCGACCCCTATGTATTTAAGCTAATTTTTAAATGTTAAACTGAAGGAACATGGAGGTTTTTTAAATGCATTACGACGACATCTTTCCCAGCAATGAAGTATTACAGCTTCACATGCTCAGTCAGGTGACAAAATATATGACTAACCCAAAGAGGATACCTTGAAGGTCATAAATATTATGAAAACGTCAGGATTCAAAGATTAATTACCTTGCTTTCTGCTAACCAGCGATGTGGGTCATAATTAATATCAGCAACAGATGAAAAAACCTACAAAAAAGAGGCAATAGTCTATTAAAAGTAGATTTTTCTCTGAAATGAATTAACATAAATGAAATTTTTCACCATAACATCCCAAACTTTAGTGCCTAAACCTAAGGGTTTAAAAAGAAGAAAGTTCATACCAAGTACTTCAGAAATTCCCAACCACCATTTATTTAACATGTCTATTTCTGTGAGCATGTATATATTATGTGTGTTTTGACAGTCAATATTTAGCTCAAGTATAGAGACATGAATCAACTCTCAAGTGCTATCATTGCTCGAATCTCTGGAGGCTGATTCTACACAGCTATGCATGGCAAGCGGCCTCAATTAAACCAGTTTACTTCATTTTTTGTTTGTTTCTTTTCTTCAGTCTTGATCCACGTAATATATTTCACAGTGGGTTAGATGTAATTACATGGAAACTTAATTCTTTGTCTCATTTATCCTTCTTTAATTTTATACTATGAGGGCCATTTTGTCTCATTAATGGTTGTGTAGAACCGACAGACACTAATGAACATGACTCCATGCAAACATTGCTTTATATTTCGTGATGATAACAAAACCCTACAATAAATAGGTTGTCTATACCAGCTGCCCTGATTTCCTTCACACTGACTCATTTATAAAATCATTACCATCTGGTTCTGCATTATGACTGATAAAACTTGTACTCAAAGGTTGTCAATGAGTTTACAATTGTAGATACACATTTTTTTCTCAATTCCTATTTTTGATGACCTTGTGTTCCTATGATGTTTTTGCAGGACTTTTCTTTCTAGAAATGTTCTGCTTAAAAATAGCCTATCCCGCTGCAAGAGATGTCCATTCCTATTCTCAAATACTCCCACGCCTACTGATGTGGTGTGCACATCCCGCCCTTAAGGAATATCACTAGGTAATTCATTCAGACACATAATAAATGCACGATGAGTGCCAACCACATGCCATACACAAGTGCTGTATTTTTTTTTTTAAGATTTTTATTGGGGAATTGGGGGATAGGAACAGCGCTGGGGAATTGGGGGAAGGGGAACAGACAAGTTGCTCTCCTTTGTTCTTCAGTCTAGTTGTGGAGGACGTTGCTTCACTGGCCCAAGTTGGCACCATCATTGTGCTCTTCCCGGGCGAGGCAGATCAGTCACCGGCCTCTGGATGGTCGCTCACAGCGGCTGCTGGCTGCTCACGCTGGCTGCTGGCTACACACGGTAGCCCATGGCAACCCACTGCCACAGGGGCTGCAGCCTACACCGTCGCTGGGGACTCATGGCAGCCCAGCTCCAGGTTGAGCTGTTGTTCAGCATCTTAGCTGTGGAGGGCAGCGTCACTGGCCCTCATATGTGGGATCCGAACCGGGGCCCTCTGGCATCCCAAGCCAGCTCTTAACCAACGCGCCACTCGGCAGTCCCACAAGTGTTGTTTTTTTTGTTGTTTTTTTAAGTTGAACCATCCTGCCACCAGTCAGCAGCTCAGCGGCTGCTCAGCTCGGCCCGGGAATCGAAGTGTTGTATTTTTATATCCAACCTTTCTCTCATTCAATTTTCTCACTATCTAAATCTCACCCAGTTCTCATGCCCACCCTGCCTTTTCAGTGAAATTTTCCCTAATCACTCTAGTTTATTGGGAAAACTTCTGTCTTCATCCAATGCCTATCCTCTTTATGCTCTCCAAATGAATGGAACACTCAGACCAAGTATTATGGGGAAAGCTCTTGAATTATCAAAGGCTGGTCAGAGAAAATCATCTATCTTTAATTTAGACATTGTCCTAATTTTATAATGGTGGTGGCTTATTAAGTGTCTGTCCCTAAGTTTTCAAACACTAAAGGCATTTACTAAAGTAGAATAATAAATATGGTGGCTGGAAAAGGAAAAATGTAATAAGAAATAATACCAACATTCCCAATGAGTTTTCTTAGGCTCATTTGTTACACATCTATTATTCAATCCATTCCATAGCACAGTCACTCTCTACATAAAATGGCTGAACATTTCATCAGCAATATTTCAAAAATCAACAAATGACAAAGAATAATTGGAATTATTCTATTTTATGAAAACATTTTACAAGGAACATCACTCTCCCATAGATCTCTGAGCTATAAAGCAAAGAATCAATTTTATTTTAACACCGTGGGTGGTTTCTTTAAGGTGAGAGCAAATATTATGTTCTTGGGTATTCTTTTTTTTTTTTAAGTTTATAGAAATGAAAAAACAGAAGTTATAAATGGAAAGAGACCCACAATGAAAAAATTGTACTCTTAAAAAAAAACTTAATAGACTTTCCATTCTTTCAAATTTACTTTCCACCCATCACTTGGACTGAATTAGTTTTTCTCTAGGGGAAGAGGTGTAAAGACCCATTACCGCAATCATTCCATTCCTGAAAGCCTATTAAAGAATAGGGTGCCTTTCAGAGTATGTTGGAATATGTTTGCATTTCATGAAGAAAATATTTAAGCAATCTGCTATGTGCACACTATGTTTTAGCCTGTAATTGCCCATAACAAGTTTATATATCTTATAGCATGATCCAAAAGTTTCCATTTTTACATCTACTTGATTGAAAGCAAGTCATCCTGACATAAATACTTAAATATAGAATAAATATTGCATTGTTAATATGTAACTCTTTTAGGTGAAATAAGGATTTCAAGGCCACACGTCTTTCCAATATATGTAAACAAGACAAATCTTAAATAAATACAGCAGCATTAGACAGGAAAAAGAATAAACTAGCATTAGAAGAGGCCTTATAACAGGACTAAAAGAGTTAGTTTTTCCCCTAAAACCAATTACTTCTCAAATTTGGCTCATAGTCCTCCCAAACTTACATCTGAACTGTTTTAAAAATGCATATAGAAATACATATTGTAGAAATGCCATCAACTCCACCAAGTTCTAGCAGCTGAAATATTTCTGTTAAAGCTGAATCCTAAGATACCTTCAACTGCAAGGGTAAAATTATAGTTTTATTTTCTTTAAAACACCACTTTAAAAAGGGAAGGAAAACAATGGGAAGGAAGAGAAGGAAAAAAGAGGGGAAAGTAGGATGAGATGAGACGATGATTTCATATGGGGAAAAATAATGAATGACAAAATAAAAAGAAGAAACACCTAAAAAGGTAGTTTTTTAACAAGCCCTTATGCATAATACTATAATTTGAGTACTGCATATCATCAAATGAAATAAATACAGGGGTAAGTGATAGCTAAACTATGTGTTAGGTTATACTATATCAAAGCAATGAATGCTTTCTGTATATAACATAGCATTACTAGAACCTAGAGTTCATTGAGGCGCTAACCTTCAAGGAATTAAGAACACCCATGATTGCTTCTGTTTTTATTTATCATTTCACTAGAACTATAAATTGAGTAGCGATGTTCCATTTTAAAGATAGAAAAACTAAATTACATGTAATTTGTTCCAATAGGGACGGCAAATAGCCTAGGGCTACCTGTTGAAGATCTAGTGATAGACTCCCACGGTTTGAAGACCTAGTTCTAACACTTTAGTAGATATATGGCCAGGGGCAACTTACTTAACTCTTCCAAGCTTTGCTTTGTCTTATCTAAAATGGATTTAATCAGAGGACCTAAAGGGCAGCGTGGTTTTAGGGGTTAAGGGAAAGAAGGTACACACCACACTTATCACAGTACCTGTAACAGAGCTAGCGCTCCATAGATGTCTGCCAGTAATATAGTAATATGCTAACAAAGCAAAAATGGCCTGTGATAATAAAAAACTCAAAGTCTAGGCCTCTTCACTCCAAGGATGTATTTTTGTCAGAACTGCTGCCTCCCTTGTAAGACATTTTCTTTTACAGGGTGACACACAGGCAATTCAATGGAATAACAGCATACTTTCTCTCACCAAGACTGCAATAGATATAAGTACCTCATTCTACAAAAATGCAAGGTGTTATTTTCTTTCATAAACTTTGTGGAATAAAAATGTGATTACCATGTAACCATGCATTAAAATCTTATTGTAATTATATATTAGGAAACTAAGTGAAAGGCACAATGAGAACTCATAATTACTTTCAGTTTCTCCATGGAGTCCCGGGAGAAGGTTTTACAAGCTGCATCAATTTCCTTTCCTAATACACCAAGAATGGACTCCTGTTCAGTCTCCAGACAAAGAAGTTGATCCTTGAGCTGCAGTCTGGCCTCTTCCATCCTCCTTAAGTGCTCTTCTTCACGGCTTATATGTTTCTCCTAAAGCATTGATGAGAAATGAAAACAATTATTAAGTGGAGGCAAGGAACAAACCTTAATGTCTGCACAAGCAACTTAAAGTGTATGAGAAAACAGATCTGTCAGTCCCTTCACTTCATTAAAATCAAACGTTCTGCCTACTCATTAACTGAGGTCAAGTTACAGAGAATTCTAAGTAAGACATCGAGGGCACTGGTCAGTAGATACTTGGCAAAGAAAATCATAGTAATTCTGCAACCAAAAGAAGCAGAAAAAATTCCTTTGCCATTTTAATAATGTAATGCCATTGATGGATCGAAGAGTAAATAAAAGCTGATGTTACATACTGACTTTGAGCTTTCAATAAATATTAGTAAAACACCAGAAAATGCAAAATCTCCAAAAAGATAAGTGCTGGTTTCTTCATTTCAGAAAAAAAGAAATAATTGTTACTACGTTTATCTCATCAAAACATCATTTTTAAAAAGTCTAAGTTTTCAAATGCAGTCATGCTGCATAAATGCTTCAAGTCATGAAAATTTGATGGAAGCAAGATGGAGGCACTTTTCAAGGGAGCAAATACATTTAATGAAAAGGGGTTTCTAAGGAACGCTCTGACAGATTACAAGGACTCGGGGGCCCCCTGTAGGCAAAACAATTTTCAATCATGACTACACAATTTTATTACTAGAGGAATTCAAGTCATACTGCACAAGGCTTGGAGGAAAAGAACAGAATTGCTAGAATTCTAAGTGTAAACAACAGACCAAAAAGCCATGATGGCTGGCTCGTGTAGCCTAATCATCTTCGCCTACCCTGGTAAACACAACACAAGCATCTTTACCTACCCTAGTAAATAAAACACAAGGTGGCTAACAAACTCAGCTTGAATTTAAAATAACAGATTTAGCTGCTCAATAAAAATTAATCATGAAAGGTAGAATGGGTTGGCAGAAAAATCACACATGATATTTTCTGTCAATTCAACTTACTACTGAAAATGAGTGAAACACCCTCAGCCCAGAAGAACAGAGTCCTTTCAAAACCTCTCTTTTTCTGCCCTTCTTCCAGCCTCGAGGCCCTCCTTTCCACCTATCTCACACTTTAAGTTCTTGCAGCTTCTCAAAGATGCCTATATGTGTCTCTTCAGACCAATCTGACGTGTATAAGTCTGCCTCAAGTTGTACTGTTTCAAAAGGAACTGGTAGGCAACAGACAGCATTTATCTTGATGAGTACATCATTCCGGTCTGGGTCTCAGCTTTGGAAACTTAGGAAGTGGACTCTCTTTTCTTTTGGGTACTCTGAGTGGAGTCTCTCTCAGCAGTAGAGTAACATTAAGCTCACAAGAGACTAATGTACAGACTAGAATGCCACTCAATTAACTACATTAGTTTACAAGACAAACCATAAACTGCCATATGGATCGGAATGCTCGTGTCAGCATAACCAGTACACTTTCTCCCTGTGGACCAATCTAGATGAGAAGGCAAATTATAATCAGAATGCTGTTTAATGAACAGGAAATCAGAGCAGGGGGGATGTTTTAGGAAACAATGTTTAAATGGCATCACTCTAACGGCAGCCTGGAGTGTCCATCTACACATCAGGGATTTACAAACCACAATAACAAGTGTTCCATTTTCTCGGGGAAGTGTCTGGATGGAGACGAGACTGCTGAAATGCATCCCCCTAACTTTCTCCTTGGTCCACATTCAGATTTTGACAAACTCTCCCTCTTGACTGATACACTTCTTTAGATACAGCACTATCTTGGCCAAGTCTTGCTCTTGTCTAAGAGCCTTTCTGAAAAATTAACATCCTCGCTCTGAACAATATTTGATGCTTTTACAGTTTACTGACTAGAAAGCAGCCTTCCTGTCAGGTCCCCTTGACTTGATTCTGTATTGCTGTTCCTTAGCAACAAGAACTCACAGGACACATGCGGTCTCCTTTCGAAATAGTGCACGCATCAGACTGGTCCAAGGAGGCACAGGCAGGCATACCTGCCATCTATTCTTACCCTTCAGTGTATCCTACAAGGTCCAGCCTCCTTTCTTTCCCCATCTCCCAATGTGGTGTGTTCCCGCAGCACATTATTTATATCATAGTATAAAAAAAAAAAACGTACCAAGCTGTAATATTATTTGTTTTTGCACCTGTCTCCCTCAATAAACTGTTTATTTCAGGAGACCACAAAACATGTTTATCATCACCTTTAAACTCCCCAACTTTGCTGAATAAGGGATTTAAACCATTTTGTAAAGACTCAAATTCAACACTGTGAAGGTCATTTTCAATTCCCATGCAGATATACACTCAGGCTACTGGGATGTGGTAGGTTTCTCTATGCATGCACAAGCCTCCAGGCTGCAGCAGTGTTCTTGCTGGTGTGACGCTTATCCGGGATTACTGATGCATTTAGAGGATAACTGTTCATAATCTAAATCCAGGTAATTCACACTGATGCTCTAATTGATCTTTTCTGTTCTTGTTTCCCTCACAGCCATCTTTCTTTTATCCACTATCACTTTCCTGCACTCTCTGTTATGACTCTTATTAAGAGGGAGACAAAACTATTTCCATATATGGAGATTCTTAAAATGTTGCTATTGTCAGAAAAGGCTCTGTAAATTCAATCTCTTCAGCAAAGACTGAAAATGTCATTATCCACTTCTCTGTCTTCCATAAGACAATTAGCATGCCACGTCTAATCTCCCTTTGAAGGAAGGCTCACAGAACTCTGAACTCACATGGACCTGAGAGAGCAGTGGGCTCAACTACCTGTTCTTTCAGGAATCCCTTCTTTTTACCTTTTACATTTCTGACAGATGGTCATCCAACCCCTGCATGACCAGCTCAAGTTTCAAAGAACAGAGTACTTGACAAAACTGTAGAATCTCTCCATTAGTCTAAGTGCTATACTCAAGGATTAGAGTAAATAAATGAATCCTCCATCCCTAATAAATCCTCTAATGTTCCAGGTAAAGATCCATGTTCTTTTACTGAACTAGGTTTCAAACGCTCCACCATACTAGTTTTCCATTCCTGCATGTGCTTCAAGGACCTAAATCTAAGGGTGAAGTAAGCTTTTCTATTCTGTGCTTAAGCAACTGTAATCTCATCATTTACTCACCCATTCAAACCATTTTTATGGAAGGCCTACTATGGCGAGACATGCTCCTGGGTATTAGGACCAGAGTTCAGGAGACAGGTAAGGGTCCTGCCCTCACAGAACCAACAAATACCTGCATTAAAGTTCGTCGGTTTTATTTTGCCCCATTCTTCTGGCTTGACAATATCTGTTTTTATACTAACTGTGGCACCATATAAATTAGCTTCTTCCTCCCAGTTTCATGTTTCAGAAATACCTCCACCAACGGAGCAAGCACAGATAACTCAGTGGGAGGGCGGGAACCTGGCTGACATTAATCTGTTCATCCTTTCTGATTTGGGGGCATAGAGATTAATAAGGGCAGATGATAATATTTAGGCACCATCATGTCCATTCCCCCGTCTTCTAGTGAATTCAAAGGAAGCGATAATTCTACAACAAAAAACTACCATATTTCTAGAGAACCAGAGGTAAGACAAGATATTTTACAGACTGTTTAGAAATATGGAAGACACAGTTAGTCTGACTTCAATGCTTCAGAGTGAATGGATACAGATGCCTGGGTTTTGGGACTCGAATATTATTTGTAGGGGTGTGGGGGGGGGGCAGAGAATGTGGGGATAGATACAGATGAAGCTGACCAAAGCGGTCTATGTGATCCAGGAAGAGAGATATCCTAGACCATGGCTGAGTCTGAGAAAGGACCTAAGAGAACAAACTCAACACTTAATTCTACACATGAGGAAACCAAAGTTCAGACAGCCTAAGTAACTTGACTAAAGTCAAAGGGCCTCCAGCCCACTACCTGAGTCCCCTGACTCCCTGACTAGTGCTCTCTACTAAGGTGTTAGAAAGGTCAAGCTTTTAAAATGAGAGCTAAGAAAGCCAATGTGAAAAACTCAGGAAAGTTACCAGCAGGTTATATGAGGACTAACGTAGTCTTAAAGTAGAAAGAATAACTCAAAAAATATTTCTGAATGGCCCTTATCATTACAAAAGAAAATATAGGACATATTGGCAAATTCAGAATAGACCACCAAAAACAGGGTGGGAAAAGCCATTGAGCACGCACAATATTCTAAACTTTTAGAGGCTCTCCACCCACACTGGAAAGGTGCTCTGTATACACATAAAATCTGTTCTTTGCAGATTTTAGTTAAAAAGAAAACACACTAAGCAAGTACAGTTCCACAAGACAACAAAGGTTTTAGGAAGCTTCCATTTCAGAACGGGAAAGGTTTATATTATTGACATTTGTGTCTAAAGGAAATACATAATACTGCTCACAGTCTCATAACACACACACACACACGCATCCAGGCACACACACTGTTGAATGGCTTGATCAAAGGACCTGTAATTCAAAGAATAAGAAATGCTCCTCTAATTATATATTTGTGTTTCAGCATGCTCTTTACAACTCAGAACATTCACTTTCCCAAAGGCTGTAAAGATGGCAAGGAGACACGATCTTAATGGAAATAGAGCTACAATAAAACTAGAGCATGTCCAAAATGTTATCTCCTTAATAAACGCTTATGAAATTTCTTCCATGTCTTAAGAGTTCTGGAAAAGACACTCTATTTCCAATATGGCTATTACATGAAATGAAAACAGTTCTTCACACACCTTAACAGAAACATTACGGTAAATAAAGCACACTCACACAACTAAATAGATCATTAGTTTACAAAGTTAATGTTTTTCCTTTACTGAAAACTAACTTGAAAAGGCAAGCGTGACAATATTTCAGCCCTAATGCCATCTTTAATATATCAGAGTGGGGGTGGGGGAGATACAGGATAAGACATAAGAGGTAGACAGAGATCAAATAATATTAAAGGCTGAAATAAAAACTAACACAATGTAATTCAAAGTTATTGAAAGCGTGACGTGTCGAAACTCTA